GGTTGCTACAAACAGTGTCGTGTTGAACATGCTTTCATGCCGTATTAGGTGAACGCGGTGTTTTTCTCTGGCTGTGTACCCGGGACCAGAGTTGCTAGGTAGTGGCGAATCCCACATTCACCTGTGGCAGACACTGTCACTCAGTTCCCAAGGTGGCGACACCCAGCCCCACGCCCTGGAAGCCTCCATCCATCGACGCCTGGCACCGACTTCTCCATCTCGGCCATTCTACTGGGAACGCAGTAGTTTTAATTTGTATTTTTTCTGATGACTGCTCAGGGCCATCACTTTCTTATCTGATTATTGGCCTTGGGGATCTCCTCTTTCATAAACTGCCAGTTGAAGACTTTGTCCGTTATTTTTTTAGTACTGGAATGCTCATCTTCTACATGTTGATTTGTATATAGTTTTTATAAATCCAGAATGCAGTATTTTGTCCATTATATATTCTTATATTCTTATACTCCACAGCCAGTCTTGTTAGTCTCATAATGATGAGCTTTGATAAACAGATTCAGTGGAGTCAAATGCATTTTGATTCATTTTTCCATTATGGTTACTGGGTTTCTTATCTGTCTATAAACTACATTCTATCCAATATTTTGTTGGGACTGCTCTTAGCGTTTTTGTGTCCAGATGAAGTAATCCTGTCTCCCCAAAGTTGTAAGACTATTATCTTAGGTTTTCTGACAGAAGACTTAGTTTACCTTCTCCGTTTATGTCTCCATTCCATCTGAAATTAATTCGGGGGTATGATATGAGGAAGATTCGAGGAATTTTCTGTTCACAGTGAACTTCGGTTGGTCATTTCTTCCTTCGTCCGTCCTTCATTCCACTGCAGTGTGGCCTCCGTCACAGACCCAGCCATTGTCTGCGTGGTCTGTTTCTGAACGGCATCCGGGGCTCTGTCCGCGCCTCCCCAGGGAGTGCCTTCTCTCTTCATTAGTTAACTACTTTATAACAAGCCTTGATCTCTGGTACAGTAATTCTCCAGCTACGTTCATTTTATATAGATGGACTTGACGATTCCTGACCCTTTGCATTTCTGTGTGAATTTTACAAACACGTGTTACTTTCTACCAAAGGAATTGCTAGGGTTTCTGTTGGAATCACATCTTATCAATAGATCAGTTTAGGGAAGACTGACATCATGTGCAGTGCTGAATTATCTGATCCCTAACAGAGCGAATTATCCCATTTATTTAGATCTTATATAATTTGTCTCAATAGTTTTCTGTGAAGGGGCCTTACACATCTTTTCTTAGAATTATCTCTGGCTATAACATGCATTTCAATGATAATATAAATAGTATTTTTATTTCATTTTCTATTTATGACTATCTGAAAATGAATTATATTTTGTATTTATCTTGTATAAATAAATTCCCCTATGAATTCTAAGAATTTTTAGGTTTTTTATTTTTTTCTATGTTATCTGCAATAACAAGAAATTTATGTTCTTTTTTCCAAATCTTACGTATTTTTTCTTGCATTCTTGCAGTCTGCAATCTCCAAACTAATGATAATTAAAAGTGGTGATCGTGGGCTTCATTGTCTTTTTCTGAATCTCAGAAACTTTTAAATATTTTTATTTCGGTAAATATATTTTAATCATAGGAACATTCCTATAATGGAAATTTTTAATATCAAATTTTACCATTTAAAGTTATATTAAAAAATAAGCTATAAAACTTCCAAAAATCTACAGGAAAATTGTTGAAATTAGTAAATAAAATTATTTATGTGGAATAAATAAAAAACGGTGCAGTTCTTTATAGATATCTCTTCACATTAATATTTACTGAATTTATCATTCCTCTGCTGTTGAACATTTATTTTTGTTTTCAATTTTTCACTAATTTAAAAATATTTCATAAATATCAGTAGTATATTTCTGTATGTTCACATTGATCTCCTTGTCAATTTTGATAATTTATATTTTCTGAAAAAACATTTTATACATTGTTTAAAACATATCGCCACCGATTAACACATAATAATTCACTTAATTTTCTATTTTCCTTCCTTTCCTCATTAATTTTTATTTTTATCAAAGTACTTCTTGCACACAGTATAAAAGTGAAGTCATTCTACAGTAACGGCTTCAACAAGTATAGTCCCCTACGTCACCTAAATTATAGAATTGATCAACTGGATTTTGCATTTTAAGCCTAATGTGTCCCAAGTAGCATTATTAAAAATCAGTGCGCACCTGACACCTTCTAGCACGAATAAGGACACTAAAGGCAGAGAGAAGATGAGTGAACAGCCAGAAAGGGAGCTACATCAAGAGGCAGCCCGTGGAAAGTGGCCCGACAGAAGATGCCCTTCCTCGCAGCCCGGAAGAGGTCTTGAAGCTCGGTGGCCGTCAGCAGAGGCTCTGTCCACACCGCCCGCCATTCTCTCTGAAGAGCCTACCGTGCGATTACCACTCATACACTCACAGGGCAGATGCTGGGTAAGGACTCACATCCACCAGCAACACACGACGGCACCTCGTGTTCAGCTGGCCACGTGGTCAGTACAAACAGACAAAAATGACTAAATTACATAGAGACGTCGGGAATGGCACAGAAAGCTGCTTAGAACTTCTTACGAGTCATAGATCAAAACAGATAAGAAATTAGTAACTTTATAGAAGATTTGAATCCTGCAATCGTTAAGCTTATTTAAAAGAGATATACAACCTTCAGTTAGAATCTGTATATTCTGTTTAATTAAATATAAAATATATACAAATATGATCACATACTAGGAACAAGCTGTCAATAAATATGAAGAATCACTATCTTTTATACTCCATATCCTGAGCAAAATGGAATAGAAATAGAAATCTGTAGCAAGAAAGTAACAAACACACCCTCCAATTTGAAAATGCAAAAGCGTATGATTAATAGCTTAACATGAAATTTATAACCCCGAATGCATATACTAGAACAAAAATATAACTTGAAATCGACAAGTTGAGCTTCCAGCTAATGGAATTTGAAAAGCAGTATCAGTAAACTTAAAGAAATAGAAGTGGAAAAACAACAAACATAATCAAAATTTAAATGAAAGAAACTACATAAAATTAACGAACCCACAAAGTGATTTTTGAAAAAAGTATCATTCGACTGATGAATAACTAACATGATTTATTAAGATAAAACACAAACAGCCCAAATAATTAATATTAGAAATAGAGATATACCCATGCAATAGAAATTATTTTTAGAAAATTTAAAAAAATAATAATATAGTACATTATACTGATATATTGGAAAAATCTTCCAGTCCAAAGAAAATCGTCCAATATATTTAATGGGGCTAAAATAGCCTGTATTTCAAAGAATAAGCAAAGTTCAAAAGATCAAAATTAATACCTGAACTCTGTGATTCATCCCATTTACATATTAAGAAAACATAATATGGTCATCTACATAGGTATAGAAAAAAATAACATAATAGAATTTAATACATTTCACGATCAACAACATAGTAAAACAAAAACCCTCCTAGCTTAGTAAGTAGCAGCAGATTTTTCTTAATAATGGTTATGCAACAAAACCTTTCAGCAACAATAAAATATAAACTATGAGCAAGAATAAAGAGACGAAGAACACATGACAAACGTGGGCAAAGGTGGGGGAATTCAGAGTCCACGGCGCCCCTCCCCTAACCCCACAATCTTGGATGATTTCAACCAGTCCCGGGGCTAAAACCATTTGTTTATGTGAAAATATAAATGGGGTGAGAGAAAGGACAAATGAATAAGTGTGAGGACGGGGAGTGTGACTATAAGATTTTATTTTTAAAAATATCTGAAGCAAACAGGACAAAACGTTCCCGTCGGAGGTGTTGGCCTGTGGGTATGGGCCGTGCTCGGCACTTTTCTATATTAAGCATATTTTATGTTGAACGTTTAAAAATATAGTGCATACTTTATACTGTATGAAGAGTGAGATAGGTATTTTTGAATAAATAATGTGCACAAAATAAACAAGGTTTATTTTGTGCACATTATTTTTGTGCACATAGTTTTTCATTTGTTGTCTGTTGTGGTTTTTATCTCTCTTACAATTTTGTGCATTAAGCAGTAAATATTCAAAACATAAAGATTTTTGTTGGTATTTTAGCCGCTCTTGGACTTGTTTGAATTGCCCTAAATGAGATTAGAGTTTGGTTGTTGCCTCAGACATAGAGATTCTTAAGTTGCTCTGAAAAATATCTGTAAATCGATAAATGAAAGTGTTTAAATTTTATTTTTAAAAAGTTTATATTATACATTTCTGCCTTTGTGTTGGTGTTTCAAATAATTTTTTTTCTGAAAATAAAGTTTATAGAAACAAATACAACAGAAGATCAGATTATTCAGATACAGGTGAATAATATCCTGGAGTAAACATGATCATTTTTGCATTTTTTTCTCCTGGTGTGGATGCTGCCACCTAGTGGACATCCCAAGAACAACACTGACTCCACTTGTATTAAAAAAATAATCTGACTTCGATTAAGTTAAGACAAAGTTATGTCAAACTCGGTTTGATTTGTGTGCCCAAGAAAGCTTTGAGTGATGAAAAGAGCTGACAGTCTCAAAGGGAATTGTCCCATCCTTAAAAGCTGAGCACATAGCCCGGTCGTCTCTGTGCCCATCACGCATAAAGCAAGCCCTAAGGTGCGGTCCGTGCCCGTTTGCACCAGCGAGCCTGTGCGGTGAGCCCAGGTGCGGTGAGCCCAGATGCGGTGAGCTCAGGTGGGGTGAGCCCAGGTGCGGTGAGCTCAGAGCTCAGGTGCCGTGAGCTCAGGTGCCGTGAGCTCAGGTGCCGGGAGTCCAGGTGCGGTGGCCCGGCCCAGGCCGCACCTCCGCCGGGGTCCGCGCGGA